ACAACTCAACTTTTAGACCCTTTTCTGGGTTACTACTGTCCTAACAATTGTATCATAACAGTATTTGTTTTCATCCCAGCCTTTTCTTTTGGGGGGCTGGGTTAACGAAGGAGGGTGTCACACAGACTGCTTTGAGAACCTGCTATAGAAAGAAGCACATATATTTTTAATTTTTAATAAATGCGCACTACTTGATTTTTTAAAAAAAGTCAACAAGCTGCAAGCACCTTTTATAAAGTTCTTAGATAATAAAAAATAAAGCCCACACGAGTAGAATGCTCTTTGCAAACAATCTTAAGGACTTCAGAACCCTTTCTAAAACTCAACTGAACTGAGTTCAAATATTCCACTTTAAGCTTACTGTGTTTACAACATGGCAGACATAAAAAATACAAAAAATGTAACAGATCAGAAAAGCTCCTGCCACCCCTAGGTCCCTGCACTGTCACAAAGATGATTTTCTTTGCCTATACAAATTTCACAATAAAACAAATGAAGCAGGAGTAACTATTCAGGATAGAGAGAACTCAGTAATATCTGCAGAGAAAAAAAATGAATGGAAGAAATGAGAAAACCAATTATCCTTTCTAATGGAATGTCCTTGACTATATGGCAATTGGGACAAGACGAATGAAGTTATAGTCCATGCTACAAAACTTTTTGTTTATGTATGGTGGCTTGTACTTGTGCTAGCAAATGTATAAAGTAGGAAGAATTCGAAATGAAAACTCCTTTACCAATTAAAAAAATATACTGTAATGCTCTCTTCCACTTGAGTTTCAAACATGCTAATTTCATTGTCATCTTAATAACACTGTCCTCTATAGAACAGTGTCCTTTATAGAGATCTGAAAATACCTTTTATAAAAAGATTAACCTCTTGTGGATAAAAGTCTGTCAGTTTTCAGTGGACAGTAGTAGGCTTTTAACTAGCCACAAGGGGTCAAAAGTTCTATAAACCTGTCAACTCAGTCTGCCATCTGTGTAAAAGTTAGTTCATTTCTGCACTTGAAATTATGTGTTGTAATTTGCAACATAAAAACCTAAAAAACTAAGAAATAATTTAAGATTATTGCTACCCATAGTAATTTTTTAGCATAATAATAAAAATCTTTCAATACAAATTCATTGTAGAAATTTCAGAAAATTTAGGCAAATATAAAGAAGAGGATGAACGGTTATAGTTTTCCTGAACTAAGCATTAGGCACATATATTGAACTTAATCTCAATAGCTCATAAGACAGAAACATCTTTTTTAAAAGGCCTTTTCTATCACAATTTTACAAAGAATTTGAGGCTATGGAAGTTTTTCACAGACACACAGCTAGTAGGTGACATTAAATACAGGCTAACTCAGAGCCTGAGCTCTCATTCTCTAACATGCGGCCTGAGAAGGAAATGACCTCCCCACCAGCGGCCCCACCACGCAGAGCGGCTGCTGCTAATGTGGGCCTGGCCACCGCCTCTCACTTCCTAGCAATCCCAGTGGGCATGAAGGCTGGTGTGGCACATTCTTCTAGACAGCCTCCCCGGGAACATATATTCATGAATCCATGCAAACACGTAATTTGCTGCATTTCAGAAATGCCATATTGTACAGAATACCCCTGAGAGAGGAAACAGGCCTAAGACGTCGCCTGACGTGCTCGTGACAAGTTTGGTAAGGGAAGAAAACTGAAACACAGTGAGACACGCTGAACTAAAAGTGATGCCAAACCGTCGCAGCTTTCTCTCCTGATTATTTCTGAAAACGCTTTAAAGACTCCGAGGTGTGCCTCAAGATTACTAGTGCAACAGCAGAAGGCGGTAACATTTATGAGCTCTGACCGTGAACCAAGCAGCCTGCTAAGTGCTTTATTAATCTAATTCGAGGTTATTGTCCCCATTTCTACAGATGAGGAAATTGAGGTTTAGAACTGACAAGTGATTTGTGTAAAATGACATAGAGTATAAGTAAGGCTGTAGGCAGAAAGGTTAAGTGTCAGATGAATCGATCTTTTTTATTGGGATTTGTTTAGCTGAGTCACTGATACCATGTTGTCACCCTAAAAACAGAATATTTTCCTATTTCATACATAAAAAAATGAATTTTCTGCTTTTGATTAAAGGGTAGTCAAAGGGTGTTATGGGATTTACATGGTAACTCAACTAGGAGCAACGCGTTCCTGGACTACACAGTTTCCACCTCAAGAGTTCAACATGAACCCTGCTTGTGATACAACACAAATCACTTACATTCTCTTGGTCTTCATTTCCCCTCTGTAAGATTATTATCAAACACAAGCCACTCAACATCCACTACATTGGCAGTTCGGTTATGTAACTTCCATCATCTCCATGGTTTCAACTCAGGAACCAAACAGACTGTTTACTTGTATTTTTATTTTTCACACTTTTCACAAGCAGATCTGATCTGAGGAACAGTAAAATGCTATAAAGATGGAACTAGTCAACTTATTAGACAAGGACTCTGCATCAGAGCTATAGCCCACTGTGACTCTCCCTAGACTTTGCAGATCAAAGGCCGATGACTTGTTCTGATGTGATCAAAGGTTTCTTTTTACATGGAAGGATGGCACTGGACAGCACTGGACATGGACACCCAGCCACCAGGCACAGGAAGACAAGCCAAGTACTACACATGACACTTCCCTTTCTCAGACACAAAAGTCTATTTCTTCCAACCTAATGTATAGGCGCCAAAAAGTTTAAATTTAGATAACACAGAAACAAGCTCCTCAGTTACTCCCTTAGACGTATACAGGCTTCCAGCACTGCTCCTGGAAGACAGCCTGCAGCAGCCGGGTAACCGAGCGGGTGGGCTTTGCTGGGTGGACCCTCAATCAGCAGCTTCAGCATTACCTGGGAACTTAAGGCAGACGTCATTTGTCTTTTCTGCTACTTTCCGACTCAGCCATAATGAATCAGACATTCTGGGTGTGAGGCCGGGGACCTGCTCTAGAACAAGTCCTCAGGAAATTCGGCCTCTTGGTAAGACTTAATAGCCACTGCTCTACCTTTTAGATTATGACTGTTGCTTCTGTGAGGTAAAGTATTTCCCTAAAATTGCAAATAAGAGTGAATAAAGCAGGTAGACAAGAAGATACCAGAAAGTAAGCTTTAACTGAATGGTCATGAATGGGTTTAACTGCATGGTTAAACTCTGTTATCCTGTTAGGATACCCTATGTAAGAAATTCAAAAAGGGAATGTTATTTGTTTTATGAATGTACTGAATTCATCCGCTTACAGTTAATTTTGATGCTATTCAGAAAATAACAGCTTTAACCTTTGGGTCACTACTCTTATCTCAGCAGAAACATCTTCAGAGTTTGATAAATTTACTATAAAAAAGCAAGTCATTAGGAAGTTTCTGAGTTTTAAATCTGTTTCAGATAAGAAAAGGACAGACTGCAGAGCATGGCAATTAACATTTTGGCAACACATTTTTTTTTCTGGCTTTCTCAAAATCTTAACTGAAGTCTCGTTTGATTCAATTCCATTTCAGCAAAGAACTATGCTTGTGGAAAATATATGTAAATAATAACATGGGTAAGATTTTCCATAATGATTCAGAACTGGCATTCCAACAAACAGCAGCTACTTTGCTTCTTGACAATGTCAATCGCCAGATTAGATTAAGGATGTCAGATGGGTAACCAGGAAGTGAACAACTGGTCTCCCTAACAATGATTCTGACTTGCAAATCTGGAAAGAAAAGGCCTCTGATGGGGTTTAGCTGCAAACCTCAGGGAAAGACTGGGGAACTAGTGCATTTATTTACTTTACTTTATTGCATGAAAATGTGCAAAGTACAACATTCCACTGCCCAAGAAGTGTGATGATTCCTCAAAACATGAAAACGATTCTTCTAACAATGCGCTCCAGTACCACTGAAAGACCTGTTTTGTTCTTTTAGAAACAGAACAGCTGGTTCCTAATACATAACTGTGATTGATTTTAAAAATGGCCTCTACAACAGTAGATGAAGCTCTGGATTCAGAACCACAAGTGCTTTCTCTCAATATTTAAAACTGATTTATAAAATCAAATGTCTCTGATTAGGTTTGGCTCATTTTCACCTAGTCTGTTTCCTTTTTAACATGCCTTATACCATGTCAGAGGCATATCATCCTGACGTTTCAGATTAGAGCTATTGATATCTTCCCCAGAATTAATAATCTTTTATTTCTGCTGACCTCTAACACTGTAAGTATGTAATGGTTGCATTTGCTGTGGTTTAACCTCAATTTTAATGAGCAGGAATAAACAAAAGACCAAAAGCCAAGTCTTCTTAGGCCCTTTACTAAAGCTCTGATCTGTACACTCAGCCAGAGCTGTGGACGTTTCTGACACAGCTCTATAGACTCACTGTCAAGTGAGTGTAAAGGATGTTGCCAGGCAACTCATCTAAGTCTGGAAGCATCTAAGCTCTGATAATGAGTCTGTCTCAGTTTGGCTCCCACACAGGAAGAGTCTAGTGAACTCCTACATGTGCCTACCGGCCATTCATGAGCAGAGGCATTTCTAAAAGTGAGTGTCCAGGAGTCCAAATCAGGAACCTATGTTTCTTTTCTAATTCAATGAATGTTTCCAACATCCCAACTACTTTCTAGAAATGTGTAGAAATCCAATGGTGACTAGGACAGTAGGCCATGTGCAGGGTTAGTGTTGAATGGACATCTACGTCTTTCTATCTTGAACATTTCTGTTGTACAAGGACTAAGCAATTCTTCAAGTATCAAGAAATCACCCCGAATTTACCTACCACAATTATTTTCTTTGAAAATTACCTCTGAAGGTGTTTTCAATACTTCAATATCAAACACTACTATAGCAATAACGCAGACGCTCAGTAAAAACTATGGTCTAGTAAGGAAAATACTGGAAAGAGTTAACGGCTATGTTTTTATGATTAACAGATATGCAAAACACGGCTCTGCTGGATGGGCCTGTCCAAACCTCCCTCTTTCAAAGCGACACCTCGCATGCAGGCTTACCGGCGCAGTACGCAGCCACGTCCAGTTTCTGAGCTGAAGTGAGGGTGGGTGAGCCAAGCTCGGATTCTGGAATTCGTGGGCTCTCAACAAACTTTGCTTTCCTCAGAGGGGCTAGGGACAAAAAAAGAGACGGAGAGGGAGAAGGGGAGGGGGGGAGAGAGGAGGGAAAAAGAAAGGAAGGAAGAACAAAAAAGGAAAGAAAAACAGAGGCAAAGAGAAGGGGAAGGGAAAGAGAGAAACATAGAGGGGTCATGAGTAAGGGGAACAGCAGGCAACAGATGGAAGCACTTAAATGAACGACACACTCTGTCAGACTCAGATCAGGTTACCCTATTTTTTTGTGCCAGAAAAAAAAAATTAACTGCATTCTTCATTGAGGAGATGGGTCTTGTTAAAAAATCACTACAAACTGGAGAAGCTAAAAGCCTAATATTCAAAACTATGAACATAAACTGTCAATTGTCTATTACCTTTAATGATTCTCTCTCTAGAGAAAAAGCAAAGAGCCTTTTAATTTAGCCTTCTGCTACTAAAAACAGGCAGTAGCTGAGGAATGTACAGGACTAAGTTTTAAGATTTTGCTTAACAGTTTTAATCAAAGGTTTTCTTTATCCAGAAATCACTGCTATCACACTCAATTGTGATAAAATAAAACATATGTAGAATTAACCTAGGTGAAAAGGAATCAGTCACCAGAATGCTCAGCTGTGAAGGTATTAAGCCACAAGAACTGACGGGCTAAGATTAACTGGGCCAGACCAGCTCAGGGCTAAGATTAACTGGGCCAGGCCAGCTCGACAGTGGATACTACAAAGATGTGATTTAATTGTGTGAGGTCTGAGGTCCACTGATAGGCCAGGCCATGGAATCCATTCATTCTTGAAAGAAATGAAATACGAAGTGTCACTCCCAAAAGGCTTACTTGCTGAAAGTCTATGTAAATTTTACTCACTGATCTTTAGGGGGAAAAGTTAAGGAATACTCTTGGTATATTTAAATAATCAGCTAAATATACCTGAAGGTAAAGTCAAACTGAGTTTATTTCAGGGTGGAGGAGCTGGGCACGGGCACTAGAGCAAGGTGTCAGCTGGGTCTGACACTGACTTGTGTGCATTACAGTGTCATGGCCACAGGTGTCTAAGCCATGTGGGTGCTTAAGATCAGATTACTTTTTTCAAAGGTTTCTGCATGTTCTTCAAAATCCTCATCCATTACTGATTCACAGGGGATTCTAAGTTATTCTCAAAAGGAAAACAGAATTCAAAAAGACTCTCTAAAAAAGTGATATAAAGCTCTGCCATTGCTATGGCCAGAAATCTATTTTTTTTGAAGGCTGAAAATAAAAAAGTATTTAAAAATACAAAGAAGTCCTTCTGAAATGTGCCAGGACTCAAAACCTACAGACAACTAAACCACACTTTAAATTTCAGGGTACATATATGTATCCTGAGTGGATATTTAAAAAGCAAAATGAAGCTCACTACTGTCTCCATGGCAACAAGGGCTGAGGGTGCTAACAGTATGGTTCCAAACAAAAATAAGCTTTGGAATAGCAGAACTCTCACCTCTGCTGAGAATGTAATACTTGCATGTATTTTTAAACATCACTATCACAAATGCAGATCTCCAGTGACTTGTATGTTCCTCTGCACACCACTAAAAGCCAGCGAAAGACTCTTTCATTGTAATCTCACCAATGAGTTAAAAAAATAATGAAACATTTTATTTATCCAGTATTACTTAGCCTAGGAGAAACTATTACAAGTTAGTTCTCAATGGTCCTTAAGTTCTAGAGGATGCTGTCAGCGCCTCGCCCGCAACTGCGGAACTACTAAGCCTGCTGAGCTCTGGCCAGGATGCACTGCTCCCCATCAAGGGGTCTATGGAGCAAATAATCGGATTTTTAGAGTGAAATCTGGGGTGAGTAGACAGAGATCAGCAATGTAAGGGAAAAGATATGTAAGGAAGAAACTGAGCGATGGCAGAAGTTGAAGGAGGTAAGCGCAGTGTGCCAGGATTAAAGATGGAATCAAGGGGAAAATGTGGGACCTGGAGACAGAGGCTCAGGGCTGTTGGAGGCTGCTTCATGTCTCCTTCACAGGGAATTTGAGGTTGTATTTATAGTTCACAGTGGACATGCACTTTTTTCCTCCCTTCATTTCTACAAATGTAATACTCTATATGTTCAATAATAAATTTATTTTCTAAGGTAGAGTAACATTGCTTTCAACATGCATATGTCGACAAATGACAGAAAAGCTGTGTTATCTGATGATACCAGGAGGTATCATCAAAAAAGTGCGCCAGGTTGCCCAACAGTGCACTCTGCTTGGTGGAGAACACAAAAGGTCACCTTGGACCAATGAGCACAGTATTTGGAAGGCTAGAATTAGAGGTGACCTGACCCAACCTGGGGCACGAATCTGATGCTGTAACAGATTTGAGTTCCGAACCTGGTGGGGGTTGAGAAAAAGGATACATACTGATTTGGGCTTAGTTATTCCAGATATTCAGGTCTTGTCTGTGGTGCTTATCAGTAGTAAGAAATTCGACAAGTAATTCAGGTTTATTGAGCCCCAGTTTTCTCACAAAGTCTAGGAATTTTACGAACTTTAACAATTCCAGGCACTTGAAGTACTTAGCACGCTTGTGGATGTGGTGATGTCGCTCACTCATGAGTTTATCAAGGCGCGGTGCATGGAGGGCTGTGGCTGCCGACAAGGTGAGCAAGTCCGGATCGCAGCCCCCCCACCAAGAAACCATGGTACAGGGCGGGAGAGCAGGGGCTGGACAGCCCAGCCCTGAAATCAGGGAGCCCACGTGCAAGTCCCAGCTCTCCCGCTGTTTTCTTGGCCTTGAGAACCTTTCTGTGCCTCAGTTGTCCATGCCTTGTTTTTCAGCTAACAGTGTCGGTGCAAAGAGGGAGGTGTGAGGATGATATGTCTTAATTCAAACAAAAACAATTGGTGTTGCCCATGCTGCTGCCACCATCACCAGCACAGAGTCAGCTGATGGGGAAGTCCGAATCATGTGTGGGAGATGCCTGGGACCCCTGGGGTGACAACAACAGTTGACATCACCCATTAATTTTGAAAACTGAAAAGGCAATGATGTTGAAGAGAACATGTTGTCATTTAGAAGGGTATCAAAACGTAGTGCCTGGACCAGCAGAAGCACCTCATCACCTGGGAATTTGGTAAAAATGCTAATGATGGCGCCATACCTCAAATCTGCTGAAATCAGAACCCCTAGATGGCAGGGAAACAGAAATCTGTGTTTAGTAAGCACCCCCGGAGTCTGAGGTACAGTAAAGTTTGTGGACACTGGGGTAGAGAAAGGCATTTATAAATATCTCATGCACAGCAGATCACTGAAAGGACTTTCCTAAAGGAAAAAGGTTGTACTAAAATATAAATCAAGGCATTCTCTGAGATTAACGTATATAATAAAGGATATAGGATTTCTTTGCAGTCACTCTTTTAGCAATGTAATTCATTTAAAAAGAGTCTCTAATTCCCCAATATCCATCACTTGGGGCCTATTTTGAAGAAAGACCAATATAGTCTACATCGCTATCTTTCCCCAAGATCGGTGGGGCTTGAGGTGGGAAAGAAGAGCAATCAGATACTTCACACAGGGATGCTAGGGGCAAAAGCGAAAAATCCATTGAATGGGCTCCCTGGCAAACTGGGGTGCTGGAAGTAATGCCAATGCACACCTAGTTCAAGGAACTATAAAGGCATTAAAATAAGAATTTTAAATAACTGCCTAAGTATTTGTATCTCATGAATGTTTCAAAGCAGAAGGGCCATTTTATGAGAAAACTGGCACCAGAGTCAGATAATCACCAGAGAATGGTATGGAAGCCGCTCAAAGAGAGCAGGGAGCAGGGACAGGAGAACAGAAGCGCCACTATGAAGAGGAGCAGAACAACATAAAGTAGCAAGCAAGTGTTCATGAGCTGATCTGGAGAGAAATGGCAGAATCAGTAGGGTTAATCTGAAGCCAAGCTGAAGGTAAATGTGAAAGGACGATGTGAAATATTAGAGGAAAAGAAGTCCAAAGTACTCAAGTCAGAAATGAAGAGGTCAAATTAATCATTGTTCGCAGAAAAACAATCTTAAATGGAGAGAACCCTGAAGATTCCACAAGAAAACTGTCAGAACTAATGAACAGATTCAGCAAAGCTCAAGATACAAAACCAGTACTCAAAAACTCACTAACAATGAACAATTAAAAAAGAGAGAAAATGCTACAATTTAAAATGGCAACGAAAAAACTGTTCAATAATAAACTTAATCAAGGGACCAAAAGACTTGAGCACTAGGAACAATGAAACATTGCTGAAAGAACTTGAAGACACACAACAATGAAAGACATCCCTGTCCGCAGACTGGAAAGCTATATTGTCAAGATGGCAATACTTCCCAAAGTGATGGAAAGATTCAATGCAACCCCTACCAAAATCCCAAGGGAATTCTTTTTGTTGTGTTGCAGAAATAGAAAAATCAGCTGCAAGTTCATATGGAGACTCAAAGAATCTTGAAAATGCACACGGAAACTCAAGGAAGATAGTATTAAAATGAACAAAGTTGGAGATTTTAAACATCATGATTTCCAAACTTACTATAAAGCCCCAGAGTGCACCATTAAAAGGACAGTCATATAGACTAACGGAAGAGAGATTCCAGAATAAATCCTATGGTCAAATTATTTGACAAATGTACCAAGACCATTTACTGGGGAAAGGACACTCTTTTCAATAGATGTTGGGAAAACTGAATAGACATGCAAAAGAATAAAGTTGGACCCTTACTCTACACCACATCCAAGAAACTACCTCAAATGGATCAAAGACCTAAATGTAAGCATGAAAGTGTTGAACTTTTAGAAGAGATTTGAACTACACAATTCTTAAGTTAGAGAAATAATGAAAATGGAAAGAGAAAACTTTATTTTAAAAAGACTGCAGATTCATATGCATGTTTTGTAATATAAAATATATTATTTCATTTGTGATGCTTTTCTTCAAGGAGTGGGGGGTCATTTTAGGGAGCAATAACTTTAAATGAGCTATAGAGAAATCAGTGACTAGCCCTGAAACACACAGT